ATTTACTGCTTTTTCTACATAAACTGTTCTCCTCTTCATCTCACGAATACCTGTGCTCTCTTGTTATCTGGTCCATTGGGTGGTTTTTGAGAAAAGAAAGGTAGACTTTGAAAAAAATGCCCTACATCTCAGTTTATTTTTTGAAAACCTAATTCACCCCCCTCTTAGGTTGTTTTCGAACCTTACAATATATAATTTGAATTCGATTCACTTGATAAGTATTTGATGTAATTATTGGAGAACTGAGGACTTTTGTCTTATTCGGGGAATGATACCCTTACTTGAGATTTGTAATGTATCTTATCTCGTTCTAAGTTTGAAAATGTTATTTCGTTTATTCTTGAGGTTGTACCCTATGTTATTGGATATGAGTGGTGTATTTTATTTGAGAACTGTAGTAAGTCCCGGCGAAAGTTAGGCAGGCGGCTCGCCGAGCTCTTTGGTTCGCCTTAGGAGGAGGTGGGGCTGTCACAGTTGGTATCAGAGTTTAGACTCTAGATCTTGTAGTGTATCCTCGGCTTAAAGTTTAGGATGTCTGACTGTGGGATTAATTTGAATATTATATGAATAAGGACCTATTGTATCCTAGGGGTTAAAGAAATTGATTATTTGAGAGTTTCTTACTTGGGACTTGTAGAAATAAAAAAATTGAGGAATTAGGTGATGTTATATTGAAAGAAAATATGGGATGAGGATTAGTAGTGAAAGATTGGACGAATTTGAATTATTATTATACTTGTAAGTATGGAAAGAATTGAGCCAATTATTAGTACTGATTATAGAGGATAAGAGACCGGGATTTGATGGTCAAACTCCATGTATGGTGATTTTGAACCAAGATAAAAGAGTTTCAAAGGAATAAAATGCATTTTCCCGCCCATTTACCTCCTAGAGAATTTCTGCTTTGAAATTTTAAAGAAAAACGAGGATGTACTAGTTTTATTTTTAAACGATAATTGGAAACAATATACATATGCTTTAAGTATGTATAATTTTCCGATTTTGGTAAATATGTGAATTTTACTTGAATTTCAATCTGAAAATTTGTGAATAACTGATGAGTTTGTTGAATTTTGTATATGATGGGCTGATACAATGTTAAAATTTTCTAAACTAAGTTTTTCTCCCTTGATTGTATACTGGTGTATTCTCACACTTGAATTTGTCTATGCTTTACACAAAAAAAAAAATCTTGAGTTTTCGGAAGAATGGCAAATTTAAGTTTTTATAATGTAAATCTTGAACTTGATAAGATTTTTGTTACTTTAAATACTCTTCTTATGTTTTAAAATTCTTAGTTTTCAAGAAGAGTGAGCCTATCTTTAGGTGTACGGACTGAGGGAATTTTGAGATATAGAATAACCGCATTCAAGAGCACGAAGTTAGTGTAAATTGACTTGGTTTCCATTTGACACGTAAGTTAGCAAATTGTACTTATTTCTTGGGTTTGAACTTGGAACTTGTGGCTTTAACTATAAAACCCTAAGACTGGTTATTCTTAGAGATGATGGTGCTCTGGCTGGTGGCTTGCTTATTAAAGATTTTGAATTTCGAATGGATAACCTTTGGTTGTAGCTTGTGTTATGGTTTGATTGGATCTAATTTCAGAAAGGCATGTGATCTGAATGAAATTAGTGATATTTGGACCCTTTGGTTTAATTAAGGACTTAGGAAGGGTGGTGCACGCCGTGAGGCCTTTTGTATCCTGCTTGCATATACTTCTACATTTTGTGGCACTTAATTGCTTATATACAGTATTTGACATATTGGGCTTCTTTTGTGACTTCTTAACTCGTGCTATAACTTTTGATACATGTAAAGAAGCATGTTTTGATTCTAAATATTTTTGCAACTTGTATATGCATTAAGTTCTTTTATGCTTAATCATTCCTTTTCTTGCGCTTATAGATTTCTATTAAGTATGGCAGCAGGAATGGGAAAAAGGGGTCGTGCCTAGGGCTTAGACAACCCCGTACTCATGAGAAAAATTGATGGATAGTCTTATATAATTTAATGAGACCCTAGCACTGAATATGAATCGAGAATAAACCAGAAGATTAGATCTACCAGTGTATAATGGATTAACCTAGTTAGGAATTTAGTGAGATTTTCCTGTGCAAAATTTTAATAGTTGCTTTATACGTATATTATGATTGGTCCTGTGGGCATATTTCAACTTTTGTGAAAGTTTGAACTCCAAAAGTATTTTGTTGGTTTGGTGAGATGACTTGAACTCATTACCTATTTGTTCTACTTGAACAAAAGTGCTTTCAATTTTACTTGACTATTACTATACCCAGATTCACTTGTTTTACTTTTTCACAAAATATATATATATGTATACACATTTTGAACTCGTTTGAAAATCGAGATCAGATAGAGTTCAAGTTCGAATCTTTTCTTGGGAACATGAATACCTATTTGTTATGAATTAGAGTTTAGAAATGATCAAGCATGATGTACTAGTAGAGTTAAATCTTGGTTTGGATATAAAAGGGTGGTAAAGGTGTTGGATCACAAGTTGTGCGAATATGAACCTACATGTCTATTTATCTTTCTTAAAGGTATTTTCTAAAATATACGCTTTACCCAAACATAGTTTTAACTTGAAACTTTGAGGAAAAGTGTTGGAACACCCTCCATGTATATGTTATGATTATTATGTATATGTTTTAAAATCCATGCATTAAGTTGCATGATTAATCTTCTTAAACCTATTTGAGAGATTTGAAAAATGTATTGATGGTTGTGGTTAAACATTATTTGAAATCTCTTACTAAGAAAATTTAGTTTTGGATCATGAAGAAAATTTGTATCTTTAACGCTAATTTTGAAAATTTTGAATCGCATTTTGCCACAGATACATTCAAAATACATCAAAAGTCTCAACTTTATCTTGTAGGTCACGATTGGTTTGATTTAGACAAACTTTTGAGGAAAAGGATTCTGGTCCTACTAGTGCGTAACAGTTTTTAGTCAGGGTTTGGAACTTGTTTCATATGGCGTATAATTTATGGTTTCACTACATACCTGAGTAAGGCCTTAGAATGGAAGTACATATCATTATATCAAGGGGTATTACTTTATTCGTGTGTGTGGATTTTCTTAAGTATCAAATTCGTGGAGAGGTAAGAGTAAATATACCTGGATGACTTAGATGCGTGAGAATTTATAGGTTGTAGATAGTTAAGTTCTAAATTTTAATTTGCTACTCATTTAGATGCTTGGAGTTGTTGATAGGCTGACAGTCAGGATTAAGCAAATGGATGAAATCTTTTTGTTGTTTTGAACATGGATGACTTAGCATGTTTTGCTACAATCTTGTTTATTCCCTTTTCTTTTGAAATGATTTGATAAATTTATCCTAACTTGATGAAACTATTATGGTCTTTTATAGCAAATGGAAGTTTACTTTGCATTTAATCAATTTCATGACTTATTCGTATATCTAAATTTTGTTACGCTTATAGCCTTGTGAGAAGATCATATCTATAATATTGAGGCTGGAATCAAGTGGGTATTAGGAATAAATATCTTTTACCTTGCATAAATGAATCATTTGAGTATCTACAAGAGACTGTAGTACTTTCCAAATTAGATTTAATACAGGACTACAACTAATTGAGGATTCTAGAGGAAGCTGTGTGATTAAGGCTAGTTCATCAGAACAGTACGTACTTTGAAATTCAATTATGCCATTGGGAGTAATGAATACACCAGTAGCATTAATGGATTTGGGTCTTTAAGTCGTATTTGGGTTAAAAATTGGCGGTAATACTCATAAATGACTTGGGACTACAATAAGATATTATTGAATTTAAGGTTTCATTTAGTACCTCGATATTTGCATACATGTATACGCAACCGGATATGATTTTTGAAGTTACTGATTCCTGAGGGCTCTTACTACCTATTTTGAAAGATTATTAGGGTTAAGGTCCAGTAGGACAAAACTTGTGTGCTATTAAGATCTTATCGAATTCGATCTGCGAGATATTTAAAGTTCATTGCGTATACCAATTTAAAGGGCTATTACATCATTTGTTCTTGAATTGACAAATTTCTTCAGGCAATTGAATCTGTGAACTGCATGAAAGAATTGTTGTTTCGCTCCTCGTGATCAGATTAAGAATACAAGACTTACGTGATATTTAATGCGGAATAAGTTTTACAATTCGTAAGAGTGGGATGCAAAAGTGACATCTGGAGTTTTTGAGTTAAGGTATGAATTTCGATGACGAAATTCTCTTAAGGGGGAGAGGATGTGAGGACCCATAATTTTATTATTTCAAAATATTGTTAAATTGGTCATTATAAAAATATTTCGTACTCGAGTTACCCAAAAAATATATATATATATATATATATATACTAAAGTACATTGGTTCTTTACGCGCATATTATTTTAATGCCCAAATTTATTCAAGATGAATTGCTTATCGTGATTTTTATTATTATTATATATATATATTTGGATTATCATACTTTAGAGTTTTAGAATCGAATAAGTTGAATTTCCAAGTTCAAACGAGAAAACCCTTAAGTTTGACCTTTATACGCGCACGTGCCAAAAAGGCCCCGACAGGCACATTAATTTGATTAATTGGAGATTTTAAGAACATGATATTAGACTACTAGTAATGTACTATTAATGTACTAGGGAAATTACCTCAGAGGTTTAGTGCACAAAAGTTGCAAACGAGCGCGAAAAATTGGAGACGCGAAGACCCTAAACGGACCTAGCATGAGTTGACACTTAGACTTAACCATGAAGTCACCAATTCTCTCCACTTTCATTACAAAATCTAATTTCACTCTCTCTCCTCTCTTCACTCTCTCTGTTTGGCCGAAAATAGGAAGAAAAATCTAGCCAAAATCCTTACAAAATTACTTCAATCCACTTCCAAATTTCATTATCCATTAGAGGGCTTTGATCCTAGCTTGGAAGAGGGGGCTGTTCATCGGTTTTCTTGGAGGAATTTCAGTCAACATTTCTGCTTTAAAGCTGTCCAACTAAGTTCTTGAGGTAACTCACTCACCCACACTACAATCTTGCAAAATTATAGCTCAAATGGAGCAAAGGTAGCATGGGTTTGCAACCTATGGTTGAATTTGGGTTGATTGGTTGAGTAATTATGTTCTTGCAATTCCATGACATGCTCGAGGGTTTGAGGATGTTTATTGGTGGCTGATGTGATGAGTTAACATGTTGTGGTTGCTGATATTGTGCTATGTTACATGTATATAGAATGATTGATGGAATGAAGTTGGAAGAAATTTAGAAATTTGGAGAAGGTACTGTCTGAAATTTCTGATTTGCTGCCGACTTTCTTGTTTGCTGCTGCCCTGTAATTTCGAAAATTTTCTGGTGCTAATTGAACTTCCAAATTGGTGTAGATATGTTGTGCTATGTGTATTGTGGTTGTCTACCAAAAATCAACCCAAATGGTTGGTTAAATTTTGAGTTACAAGTAAAGAAGCAAAACTGGAACAAGCTCCAGAATTTTCTGACCAGCAATATTTGTGTAGCTATAACGTTTTGCTCGTTGATCAAAATTGAGTGCTGTTTTTGGTATTTGAAAGTAGACTCTTAGAGCTTTAAAATGGTACCAAGATCATTTTCTAGTTCGTCCCGAGCGATTCGTGGTGAGTTTTGAAAGTTGGCTGCCTGTTTATTACTGTTCATCCGAGACTGTCCAAAAAATCCATTTTGTTGCTTGATTTTGAACCGCTTATGTCTGGATTTTGGAAATGATTTCTTCTGCATAAATATATCCTTGTGAACCTAGTTTCTAACACCACCAACCGTTTTCAATTTCACTGAGAATCGAGTGAGATACGGCCTAATTAGCGAAGTGCATTAAATCTGGAAAATTTCTGGAAAGGCCAACAGTCCAGGAATTTTAGCGAACTTCAACTTTTTATTTCTTGAACTAGGAACATCGGAATCGAGTTTCATTTTTTTTTATTTGAAACCTGGATTTGAAATTTACATTCATATCAAATTTCAGAGGCTGGTTTTGATTCTATGATTTTGGCAAAAATTCCAAAATTATTGGCAAAACTTGGACTGTTTTGACCTATCTTCAATGAATAGTAAACTTTCTTGGAGAAATTGACTTGTTTCTGATTTGATTCTTGGAAGTGACCTTCTACAAAGTTGTTATGCTTCGAATTAAGTTTTTGACGGTGTAAAATTTTCCATTTTTAGACTTTTCAAACTTCCGGACTGATATTTCCAAGAATGACTCGAAAAGTGAAATTTTCCAATTTGAACCTAAGTGTTCTTTTAAGGGCCTAGGTTACATTTTTACAACTCGTAGAGCATTTCAAACCTATTTTCATGGTGAACTTGAGTTCACCTATCACTTGAGACCTCATTTGAAAGTCGGTTCCTTATGGACTGAAATACTTTGGAAACTGGAATATTGGAGTCAAAATTGACTGTTTCTTTTCTTTACACGAATACTGTATAGCCTGGAATTTGATATACAATGCATTTGCACACCTTCAGGATCTCAAGAGGACTTCGAGGGAACTCCCGGCGAAGCGTTTTAGAGCTAATTTCTCAAACTTTGATTTTTGATACTTGGTGAGTGTCAAGTGCATGTTTACCTGTACTTCACTTGAGATTTGTTGCCTACATGAACTCTACTTGAACTTTTTGTTACATGAACTATACTGGTTGAGGGAAGTGTGTACTTTACCGCACTTCATCTCCTTTACTTGGATCAATACATGACTTGCGACATGAATTACATGAAATTACTGGATTTTACATGTACATGATCTGAAGTCGAATGCAGAAAAAAATCTCATCGACTAAAACTTGATTTGTTTTGAAAACCTGACCTGTGGGGACGCCCAAACCCAATGGTTATACCTCATAATCTCGCCGCCAATTGTGAGGTCTTGGTCAGGAAAACTTGGTGAACCTTGGGAAGTGTTATAGCTTGATCCAAATAAGGGGTCTTGCTAGGTATACTTGTTAAGTGATACCACCTACATGCTAATTTGGTTATGGATCCAAGAGGGTGTCATGGTGGCTGGAGGTAGTAAGTGGAGTTCTACATGGATAATTGTGAAAGTTGACGGAGGGTCAACTACCTGAGCTTGGATCGCGCGTGGATTAGCTCCTGAGAGCTTCCGTATCCTTTTATTGTGATTAAATTCCCTAGTTGCTTAATGTTTCGCAGTTACTTGTTACTCGAGTTATTGCTTTATATTTTGTCTTTGCTAGCATGCTTGCATGTTTTTCCCTTGGCCTCACTGAGCGTTAGCTCACCCCAATTTGTTTTCCTTAACAGGTTTGAAAATGGAAGTTCTGAGGCTTAGTTAGTGACCCCCAAAAATACTTTTTCCCCACAGGGCTCGAGGCCAAAGAAAGCGCTTGTATTGAGTTATTAGTGCCTGAAGGGATATCTCATATATAATTTGAATTCGATTCACTTGATAAGTATTTGATGTAATTATTGGAGAACTGAGGACTTTTGTCTTATTCTGGGAATGATACCCTTACTTGAAATTTGTAATGTATCTTATCTCGTTCTAAGTTTGAAAATGTTATTTCGTTTATTCTTGAGGTTGTACCCTATGTTATTGGATGTGAGTGGTGTATTTTATTTGAGGACTGTAGTGAGTTCCGGCGAGAGTTAGGCAGGCGGCTCGCCGAGCCTTTTGGTTCGCCTTAGGAGGTGGTGGGGCTGTCACAGTTGGTATCAGAGTTTAGGCTCTAGATCTTGTAGTGTATCCTCGGCTTAAAGTTTAGGATGCCTGACTGTGGGATTAATTTGAATATTAATTATGTGAATAAGGACCTATTGTATCCTAGGGGTTAAAAAAATTGATTATTTGAGAGTTTCTTACTTGGGACTTGTAGAAATAAAAAAATTGAGGAATTAGGTGATGTTATATTGAAAGAAAATATGGGATGAGGATTAGTAGTGAAAGATTGGACGAATTTGAATTATTATTATACTTGTAAGTATGGAAAGAATTGAGCCAATTATTAGTACTGATTATAGAGGATAAGAGACCGGGATTTGATGGTCAAACTCCATGTATGGTGATTTTGAACCAAGATAAAAGAGTTTCAAAGGAATAAAATGCATTTTCCCGCCCATTTACCTCCTAGAGAATTTCTGCTTTGAAATTTTAAAGAAAAACGAGGATGTACTAGTTTTATTTTTAAACGATAATTGGAAACAATATACATATGCTTTAAGTATGTATAATTTTCCGATTTTGGTAAATATGTGAATTTTACTTGAATTTCAATCTGAAAATTTGTGAATAACTGATGAGTTTGTTGAATTTTGTATATGATGGGCTGATACAATGTTAAAATTTTCTAAACTAAGTTTTTCTCCCTTGATTGTATACTGGTGTATTCTCACACTTGAATTTGTCTATGCTTTACACAAAAAAAAAAATCTTGAGTTTTCGGAAGAATGGCAAATTTAAGTTTTTATAATGTAAATCTTGAACTTGATAAGATTTTTGTTACTTTAAATACTCTTCTTATGTTTTAAAATTCTTAGTTTTCAAGAAGAGTGAGCCTATCTTTAGGTGTACGGACTGAGGGAATTTTGAGATATAGAATAACCGCATTCAAGAGCACGAAGTTAGTGTAAATTGACTTGGTTTCCATTTGACACGTAAGTTAGCAAATTGTACTTATTTCTTGGGTTTGAACTTGGAACTTGTGGCTTTAACTATAAAACCCTAAGACTGGTTATTCTTAGAGATGATGGTGCTCTGGCTGGTGGCTTGCTTATTAAAGATTTTGAATTTCGAATGGATAACCTTTGGTTGTAGCTTGTGTTATGGTTTGATTGGATCTAATTTCAGAAAGGCATGTGATCTGAATGAAATTAGTGATATTTGGACCCTTTGGTTTAATTAAGGACTTAGGAAGGGTGGTGCACGCCGTGAGGCCTTTTGTATCCTGCTTGCATATACTTCTACATTTTGTGGCACTTAATTGCTTATATACAGTATTTGACATATTGGGCTTCTTTTGTGACTTCTTAACTCGTGCTATAACTTTTGATACATGTAAAGAAGCATGTTTTGATTCTAAATATTTTTGCAACTTGTATATGCATTAAGTTCTTTTATGCTTAATCATTCCTTTTCTTGCGCTTATAGATTTCTATTAAGTATGGCAGCAGGAATGGGAAAAAGGGGTCGTGCCTAGGGCTTAGACAACCCCGTACTCATGAGAAAAATTGATGGATAGTCTTATATAATTTAATGAGACCCTAGCACTGAATATGAATCGAGAATAAACCAGAAGATTAGATCTACCAGTGTATAATGGATTAACCTAGTTAGGAATTTAGTGAGATTTTCCTGTGCAAAATTTTAATAGTTGCTTTATACGTATATTATGATTGGTCCTGTGGGCATATTTCAACTTTTGTGAAAGTTTGAACTCCAAAAGTATTTTGTTGGTTTGGTGAGATGACTTGAACTCATTACCTATTTGTTCTACTTGAACAAAAGTGCTTTCAATTTTACTTGACTATTACTATACCCAGATTCACTTGTTTTACTTTTTCACAAAATATATATATATGTATACACATTTTGAACTCGTTTGAAAATCGAGATCAGATAGAGTTCAAGTTCGAATCTTTTCTTGGGAACATGAATACCTATTTGTTATGAATTAGAGATTAGAAATGATCAAGTATGATGTACTAGTAGAGTTAGCTCTTGGTTTGGATATAAAAGGGTGGTAAAGGTGTTGGATCACAGGTTGTGCGAATATGAACCTACATGTCTATTTATCTTTCTTAAAGGTATTTTCTAAAATATACGCTTTACCCAAACATAGTTTTAACTTGAAACTTTGAGGAAAAGTGTTGGAACACCCTCCATGTATATGTTATGATTATTATGTATATGTTTTAAAATTCATGCATTAAGTTGCATGATTAATCTTCTTAAACCTATTTGAGAGATTTGAAAAATGTATTGATGGTTGTGGTTAAACATTATTTGAAATCTCTTACTAAGAAAATTTAGTTTTGGATCATGAAGAAAATTTGTATCTTTAACGCTAATTTTGAAAATTTTGAATCGCATTTTGCCACAGATACATTCAAAATACATCAAAAGTCTCAACTTTATCTTGTAGGTCACGATTGGTTTGATTTAGACAAACTTTTGAGGAAAAGGATTCTGGTCCTACTAGTGCGTAACAGTTTTTAGTCAGGGTTTGGAACTTGTTTCATATGGCGTATAATTTATGGTTTCACTACAAACGTGAGTAAGACCTTAGAATGGAAGTACATATCATTATATCAAGGGGTATTACTTTATTCGTGTGTGTGGATTTTCTTAAGTATCAAATTCGTGGAGAGGTAATAGTAAATATACCTGGATGACTTAGATGCGTGAGAATTTATAGGTTGTGGATAATTAAGTTCTAAATTTTAATTTGCTACTCATTTAGATGCTTGGAGTTGTTGATAGGCTGACAGTCAGGATTAAGCAAATGGATGAAATCTTTTTGTTGTTTTGAACATGGATGACTTAGCATGTTTTGCTACAATCTTGTTTATTCCCTTTTCTTTTGAAATGATTTGATAAATTTATCCTAACTTGATGAAACTATTATGGTCTTTTATAGCAAATGGAAGTTTACTTTGCATTTAATCAATTTCATGACTTATTCGTAGATCTAAATTTTGTTACGCTTATAGCCTTGTGAGAAGGTCATGTCTATAATATTGAGGCTAGAATCAAGTGGGTATTAGGAATAAATATCTTTTACCTTGCATAAATGAATCATTTGAGTATCTACAAGAGACCGTAGTACTTTCCAAGTTAGATTTAATACAGGACTACAACTAATTGAGGATTCTAGAGGAAGCTGTGATTAAGGCTAGTTCATCAGAACAGTAAGTACTTTGAAATTCAATTATGCCATTGGGAGTAATGAATACACCAGTAGCATTAATGGATTTGGGTCTTTAAGTCGTATTTGGGTTAAAAATTGGCGGCAATACTCATAAATGACTTGGGACTACAATAAGATATTATTGAATTTAAGGTTTCATTTAGTACCTCGATATTTGCATACATGTATACGGAACCGGATATGATTTTTGAAGTTATTGATTCCTGAGGGCTCTTACTACCTATTTTGAAAGATTATTAGGGTTAAGGTCCAGTAGGACAAAACTTGTGTGCTATTAAGATCTTATCGAATTCGATCTGCGAGATATTTAAAGTTCATTGCGTATACCAATTTAAAGGGCTATTACATCATTTGTTCTTGAATTGACAAATTTCTTCAGGCAATTGAATCTGTGAACTGCATGAAAGAATTGTTGTTTCGCTCCTCGTGAGCAGATTAAGAATACAAGACTTACGTGATATTTAATGCGGAATAAGTTTTACAATTCGTAAGAGTGGGATGCAAAAGTGACATCTGGAGTTTTTGAGTTAAGGTATGAATTTCGATGACGAAATTCTCGTAAGGGGGAGAGGATGTGAGGAACCATAATTTTATTATTTCAAAATATTGTTAAATTAGTCATTTTAAAAATATTTCGTA